TATTGTTGGTTTTTAGGTATTGTCAATAACATTCTGTTGAAATCTGTTTATTTCTGTTAAAAAAAAAAAATAACATAGATCATTAACATATAGAAAAAAATATAAAAACACACACACCTCCTCTCTTAAGGCTGTGAACCACCATCAGGCATGTAACCACCATCTTGAAGATGAGGTTGTCAGGCAGAACGGGATAGGAGCTGTCGCTGTGCTGCGGCTGCTCCTCCTCTTCCTCGCTTGGACAGGGCGGGGCGCCCCCGTGTGTTGGAGCCGGAAGATAAAAGAGGACCAGGTTGAAGTCCTCCAGCACCGACTGGCAGAGAGAAGTCAGCTCCGTCTCCATCAAACTTCAACCCAGAGAAGGGCAGACAAAAAAAAAGTCCATATATTTAGTAAACAACTGAGTGAAGTCTTATTTTTACCTGCGGTGGATCTTCATCATTAAATCTTTCTATTGTGGGAAAGAAAATGAGGTGTTGCAGATCTCAGGTCACACATTACCAAAAAAAACGCCAGAATCCATGTTCCCGGTTTAGGTTAGCACATGTAGCCATATCGCTAACTAGTTCTTAAATACCGTATTTTCACGACCTTAAGGCGCACCGTACTAAAGGTGCAGTCTCAGTTATGTGTGGCATTACTGTATTTAACACACACATAAGGCGCACCGGATTATCAAACTCATCGAAGTCATCATCTTCTGTTTCTGAATTAAACAGCTGCATTATATCAGACATGCCAATTTCCCCTTCTTCGCTGTCAGAATCACTTTCCGTGCCGGGCGGCTCCTCGGAAATAATGCCGGCTTTTGCGAAAGCTTGAACAACAGAGCGAGCAGACACGTTAGTCCAAGCATCTACAATCCATCCGCAAACTGTGGCGTAACTTGCCCGGCGCTGCCTTCCACTTTTCGTGAAACTGGTCTCCGTCGGTCATCCATCGCTCCCACGCCGCTCGCAGCCTTACTTTGAACGGCCGGTTCACACCGATGTTGATCGGTTGAAGTTCCTTTGTCAGACCCCCCGGAATAACAGCGAGCACAGCGTTCATTTGTTTCACCATGTTTTTCACATCGGCTGTGAGATGGGCACGCATGGAGTCACAGATTAACAGTGATGGTGATGCGTGGAAAAAAAACACCTGGTCTCCTTACATTCGCCTCCCTCAGCCACTCTGTCATCATCTGCTCCATGAGGAGATGATGAAATACGTAACTCGTGAGTGGCTGAGGGAGGC